AAGAAGATGGGTGAAATATTTTCTGTACTTTTCAAGGGATTTATTGAGTATAACCACATCACAGAATAAAAACATGCAACTTGCACTCAGTGCTAAGCTGCTTGCATACTTTAACCATTTAGAATGTGAAACCCTAACTTTTGTAAAGTTTGCCATGTGATGTTCCCTCTTCTGCATATTGCACATATAGTTATTTTTGATGGCTTTATGTAATGTGCACATATGTGGGCAGCTGTAGCTCAGGAAGTAGAGCAAGTTGTGCACTGAGTTAAATTCAGGCCACTGGTATGACAGTTTTTTTTTTTGTTTTTTTTAAATGCAGATGTCATATCCAGGTGTTTAAATGCTACATGTATGCTCTCTGTATTGCACTCGCATCAAGGCTTGATGTTTAAAGTTACTGTTTTTAGAAGTGTAAAAGAAATCTGTACTATGCAAATTGTGTCTAACATGTCAAAATATTTGTGTAGTTACGAGATTTTGACAAAATAAAAAATGTTGGGAAGCCTGATTCGTCTCTTAATCCTCCTCAGAATCACTACACAAAAACTCCTTATGTCAGCTGGCATTGGGGAAAAACAACCGAGACACCTTTGGGAAAAATTAATTTATATTCCTTTATATATATTTTTTTCTCCATCGCAGTCACATTACAATGTAATAAAATGATAAACATATAAAATCAAACTCAATACTGACGCATATACATTTGTTCTGTGTTCAAAACCAAACGAACTGTACATGTTTTCATTTATATTTCTTTCACATCATTTAAAATCTGTCATTTCTATGTAGTCATCTGTATTATTGTAAATCTTTGTCTCTTCACAGATAAATAGACTTTATTTTCAGGAGGTATTGTAACAAAAATAACACATTTCCTAATGGTGGCTGCCTAGAATCACCGAAAATATCATTCAACTCTTAACCGTAATGCTTAGGTACTATCGTAGACACGCAATACACAGACAAACTGAAGGTACACGATGGGTCTTCTTGTTCCCCTCCCATTTGTATTTGTTGTGAATTAGGGAAACCCCCTGAGTGGTATCTCTCATGAGCTGACGTGGGAGCAATTTGAATTTCTGTAGTGAAGTTAGGAGATGTTAGCCAGACAGCCCGACTCGCATATGAAATGTAATACACGCCCATGTTTTGGCTTTTTTGTGATTGCACTGCACTCAGCTAGTTGATTATATGTGGAGTTTAAAATGTCCTCCTTATCCAATATATACATTTTTATCACAATCACCTGGACTGCAGGAAAAGGGAAATGGCTAGTTAGCTTTTTTTGTTTTTGTACGAGATACTGTATTTTTTAGTCAGAACCAAACTAGCGAGCTGATATTTGGAATTGGGGTGAATTGAGAAATTGAACATTTTTTTAATGAAGGTAAAAACTAATAACTTGGAAAATATGGACAAATATAAAAAGATGCTGCTTTCATGTCTAATGATATGTATGCTAAATATACGACTAAAAGATAAATCATAAATGTGACTAGAAGTCACAAACTCTCTAGATAAGGTTTGTACAGAGATTAGATGTGGGAGAAGTCTTCTTTTATAATAAATGAATACTTTCGATTTATTATTTTATATCTTTTATGTTATTTATTCCAAACAAAACCAATTGTGCGAAAAACTTTTTCGTTAGCGTTAGCTTTTTGGCCAGAACTAGCTAGCTAGCTAATTAGCCATTTCCTTGTACGTTAAACTTTAAACTGAAGCAAAAATAATTACACAATGGATTTTTTAATTTGACATTTTTGTAGTAATATGTAAGCAAAGATAACCTGAATTGATGAAGTGATAAATGTGCAAGATTGAACTCAGAAATCAAGATTAAGGTTTAAAAAAAAAAAAATTAGTTGTCAGAATGTTAACTTTTTCTATTTTTACATTTACCATTATTTTGTCTTGTTAATTTCCCCCCATAAACATGAAAGTCTTCTCTCTGAATTTTCTGTGACTAAAATCATAATGTATAACAAATTATTTTGTTATATATTATGATAAACATTTCTTGTGAAGGTTTCTTTTGAAATAAATTATTGCTTAATAATTATTTTCTTTTAAAGTAAAAAAAAAGGAGCACAGTTGTCTGGCAAATCACCTCCAAAAACGTCATCCCACCCACAGAGCTAATATCAGTGTGCTTATACTCAAGACAACACAATGGCACAGATTCCTATGAAAACACAGCTTCCAGTCAGGCTGAATTTTTCTTCTCTCGTTTTACATTCTGGATATTTAGAAAGAACATTTACTATCGGTACATTTCAAAGAGCCATCTAAGCAAACCCATGGAACATAGATCCAACTGAGAAGGATTACCAGAAAAAGGTATTTACAATCAAAATGCCACCCACAAGAAAATAAAAGTTACTTTTGCACATCGAAGTCGCTAGAGCTACTTTTTTTCTCCCCCCGAGCTGAAGAACATGGTAGAAAAGCATGACCCTAACAAAATAAAAGCTCATGGTACGTCTAACAGGTACTTCCAAGTTAAGGTTTAGTTTGACCCTGCCCTGTGCTTATAGTATCCAAACCTGAGTCAAACCACTGAAATCCTTTTTGTTCATTTTCTGTGCCAAAACTACCAAACCTCTTCGGTTCCTCAAGGAAAGGATTTGAATTGTCATCGGACTCAGATCTGGTAAAAACTGGTCTGAGATCAGAAACAACTTAACATCTGGCCTCAATAAAACCATACTTTCACAGCTCTAGACCAAGCACGCAAAAGAATATATGAAGCATTCATGACACGGTATGGTAGCTTGTGCTCAGACACACACACACACACAGCCTTACCACAGGCCTCATATGCTTTGTAGACCCTGATAGTGGAACATTTATGTATTTTATCCAAAGGAAAAACAACTCCTTGGTTTTCATTTCATTTTCACAGATACACATTCCTCAGTCGGGAGGTGGCATTCATCCCAGTTATTCCCAAGGTACAGTTTTCCCCTCCCGACCAATTTTAAACCATCAGAAGTCAATCCTGATAGAGAACAATGTAAAGTCCATAAAAATAATCACCAAATTATTTAAGAAAAATGCAAAAAGCTTAAAATCTGTAAACAAATGGTACATCACATATTTGCAATTCTGCACATCAACACTTTATGGTTTATTCCTTCCTCCTAAGAGAAAAAAAAGCCTAAAACATATATATAAAAACAAGCAAC